ATTGTAGATATTACAAATATCTATCAAATGCAGATACAAATAAGTTTTTTCTGAAAGAAAATCAATCCCATATTTGTATCTGAAAGGATAAAGTTTGTTGTGTATACATGATATTAACATTTTACCAGATTAATACACAACATTACTAAAATTAGCAAAAAACCGACATACCCATTAAACAATCCATCAAAAGGTTTCAAAACCTTGCGAGTAACAACTAACAACCAGTGGTCAGAAGGATTAAACACTATTTATATAAACTTCAATTAATTGGAACAAATATCTAATGTGAATATATAGTGAATAGTGAATACCACCATAACGACGGCGATATGATCATTTTATATTGAACTTATTCTACAATAATACAGTAACCATTATATTATGTTTAAGCTTTAACAAAAATTAAATTTATTATAATAGTTCTTATAATTTAGTAATATAAGTAATATTTTTTTTCTCAGATATTAAATATTAAATATATCATAAATTTTAAAATCAAGTTAATTAACATTTTTTCTTAAATATGTAGAGAGAGAAAGAGATTAGACCTGTTGTTGAAGGGCAAAGATTTGAGCAACACATCCATAGACAGGATCTCTGAGCCTAGCTTGAGCTTCATAACAAATGGTGATGACGGCATCGAGGCGCTTGTTAACCGGAATACTCATAAGGAGTTTGGTAACATTACTGGCACCGAAAACCTTATGCACCGCCGCGAAATGGGTGGCTCCTTGCTCGGAGTCGAAATATGGCGCGAATATGCACTCCGCCACACACTTTCTTCTCAAAAACTTGCAAGCTCCACATGGTCCACTACCACCACCGCCACCGCCACCGGTGCTGCTAGTGCTAGTATTTCCGCTCATTTTCTGAAACCAATATTCTCAGTTTCACAGATTAATAAATTAGGGTATGGAAGAGATAGGAGAGTAAATTTATGCTTTGGTGAATCTGTGTGCTCTAGGAAAAGGGGAGAAATGGGGGTTTTAAGGAGAAAATGGAGACTTTAAAGGCACGCCAGAAGAAGCAAAAACCAGATTAGAGCGCTTGCGTGAAGCAAACATGCGATATACCCGTCTGATTTTTTCATTTATGGTCCTTTCTCTTCTTCATCTGACCAAACAA